TTTTTTTCACCCAGCTGACTAGCCAGGGTTTGAGCACCTGGACAGTTCCAGTTGCAGGGAAGAAATAAGTGGCAGAGCTGAGTGGCAGAACATAATCCTAATGATTCACAAGAAAATGCCATTTTGGTGAACACACTCAGACAGAGCCAGCAGAAGACAGCATCTTTGGCCAAAAATACCAATCTTTTTCATGGCATTGTGCTGTCCAAAAGGTCATTTTTCACATATCCACAAGGCATGTTTGTCCATAACCTTTATACAGTGTCTCTTATACCATAAATGACAACCAAATCAATTTTGCTGAGATTCCATGGATGTTTCTCATGGAGTTGTACTTTTAGATCAGCAGGGTTTCTTGTTGGCAATTSCTCTATCTGATGGTGCACCAACATGAGAGATGGATGGAGACCTGTGACCAATTTTACACTCTCTGAGTGTCTTTGGCCTTGTCTTAATTGTCTTTCAGATATTTCTACATTGTTCAATTGCTACTTTATTCTAGATACCTGTACCAATCTTTGACACACAGTTCAAATCTGCTGCCACTGCTGATGGAATTGTACCTTAAYTACCTCTTCCCAGCCCTCAGCTGGGTCCCTGACTTAATACCAGATGTTAAAGGCTTATTCAGATCTAAAAAGTCTCTCTTGTTTTGGGGAATTTCAATACCAACATCACAGGAAGGCTACTAACATTGTTCAATAGAATTTTTTCTTCCTATTTGGTTCACTGACCATTACTTTATGATGATGTTGAGCTGAGCCAAGTGTGCTTCCCAGGGAGCTTTCTCTACAAAATCAGTGGATTTTTGCATGATGTAAGTCCAGGATATTCTCTGTTCTCTCTAGAGTATTGCAGGTAAAATTGGATAGGAAACAGTTGTTAAGGCTTTCCAGCAGGCCTGATGTGGGTTGTGGACTTTAATTTTAATCTTTTTGAAATTACTTTTCAACTTTGTGTGCGTGGTTTTTTTTTTTTTAAAAGCTTCTTTCTGTTATTGTTTTTCACGGTTGACTTTATTATTTCACGGTATCTTTGAGGTTTTTTGCAACACTGAACAGAAGGTGTTGCAGTAGAGTTTCTCAGTCTGCCTAAATACTTTGTAATTACTTATTGCCTAAAAAAGATTCTCTTTGTGCTTGCAAGCCGTTCTTTAGAACTTCATAAAAACACTAGGTGCCACATTTTTGCAAAATTCTCACCTGTAGTGAGAAGTTATTTTCAACTTGACTAAAAAGAAATAGAAGTTAATGTTTTTTTTCTTTCAGTCCTGCTTTTAACACTGATGTTGCAGGTTCTCAAACATGGAACCATTCACTTTTGGGAAGATTTTTCAGATTATTTACTTCAGAAAGAGAGATTGAGATATATATGGATGTCAGACTTATTTTTGGCTATAAAGACAGACCAGGTGTTTCTTTCTTCACAGAACACTGGAAAAACAGCAGCAAAGTTCTGAAGTTCAGGTCTTTCTAGACAGAATTCTCTCTGTCAGATATCTCAACTGTTGTGTTTTGGTCTTTATTTAGTTTCTTTATAAAGTCTCTTCTGTCTGTCCTGATTTTCAGTGCAGCCTTGTACAGTGGTTTCCTCCCGTTCTTTTCACACTCACTCTCTTGCTCCCCTTCTATCCCTATGAGTAAAGTTCCATCCTATTAGTTTGCATTCAGGCCCCAGGAGAGAATTATATGGTTCATATGGCTCAACACCTCTGCCACTCTTGCACTATTTTGGACAGTTTCTAGTTAAAACCCTCAGGGCTCATTTTCTCCTCTTTTGCATTTGACCTTTCCCTATTTAAAAAATCTTTTATTTAATCTTAATATCTAGTTTGTCCGTATACCATTGTCTAGGTATCAGCATATAGGCATGATGCCGAATTTTTTTCCTTGCCGTAGGTTCAGATTTTTTCAGTGTAAGTGACCCTTTAGTCTTATTTTAAATTGTGTGTAGTCTGTAGATGGAGAAAAATAAGAGATGAATATCAGTTCATTTTCAGTTAAGTATATTGTTACTCTGATGGGAAAGAACCATCATATAGTCATCATCATATTTCCTTAAAAGATATATAGAAATCAATCTGTAGGAGACTGAAATCAGTTTTGCTGTACTCCCCAAACCACATGCTAGGTAGGAAATCTTAGTGGATATTAGGATGGAATGTTCAAGGGCTATTTGTTGCATTTTAAACATGAGTGCTGAAATTTCATTTCTTTGGCTGGAGCCAGAGTATTACTGGTTGGCTTCATGTGTGCTATTTATACTTGTCTCCTTCAGCCCAAGTTCTTCAGATTCAGTTCACCTGCTGCCCTCAGACAAGGAGTGAGAATTAGCACAAAGGAGCCTTGATACGAGTTTCAAGGTCTTCCTTTCTTTATTTTAATGAAAAGGGTCTGCCAGCAACACTCAGGTCTCTATCTTGGCCTACTTAGTTATTCTCCTTTACTCACACTGGCAATCCAAATACATGGATCTCAAGAAACCATGAAATTCCACTTATACCTTTCTGGTATCTTAATTTTTGTTACCAGCCTCAAAAGTAACTGTAGATTGCTAGGAGAAAACTGAAAATTTGTGTTAGATACWTCATTGGTATTACATAACAAAAAAGAAATCCAGAAAAGATTGGTGCAAACRATCTCTGAGGAATAAATACAGCAAATGGGCATTGCTGGCAATTTGATTCCAAAGTCTATGAAAACTGAAGAAATCACAATGCTGCACTCTCTTTCTTAAAGTTTTGAAGTCTTCATCTAGTTTGGAGTGGAAGTTTAATCAATGAGAAAGAGGAAGTCCTTTCATCTCTCTCCCCTTTGGCCTGTCCTCCTTGTGTGATATGAACCTGCTGAAGAAAAAAGGCTCCAGAGCAGCTGATCTTGCTCCCTTCYCTTCCWCCACACTCCAGGGGTCACCTTCYTCCTTTCCTCACTGAGGCAGGAACRTGGTGTAGCCATTGAAGAATTGYTGTTTGAGCTGCWGTGTGAGCACAGCCCTATAAAGAGCAAACATTGACCTTACAGATTATTGTGTGTCACTGGGAGCAGTTTTGTTCTTTGTACCAGCTCATGGAGAGGCCTTTCATTCCTCAGCACAACACTGACATTTTAAAGATTATTTTTGGGGGTGTCTCGTTCTCTCCCCTTGGCACACACCAATATCTGTAACTCTATGTTAAATGATTATTTGTAGGATGTGCCCAAGGCTTTGACACCCACACATATACACCACAGAAAATCCTAGCACGAGGAAATTTGCTGCTCCTGGTTAGTTTGGTCAGAGGGCTATAAACTAGTCAGATGAAATGGAGAAAATAGCTCTTTATTTCACCTGCTGGAGTTGCAGAGATATTTCCTGGTGTGCACCAAGGAGACTCCTTGTATTGGGATAGCGGTCAGAACCCTGTGCCAACAGCTGAAAGAAGAAGAAA